GTGTGTGTGTGTGCGTGCGTGTGTGTGTGTGTGTGTGTGTGTGTGTGTGTGCTCACCAAAATAAAATCTATTTACTTTGGAAAATTAATGAGAGCAACATGAGTAGATTGAAATATTTGCAAATGACATGCAGTGCTTGCATATAAGGCCTCTTGAGTATGAGCAATCCCTCTGAAATAAGACCAATAGTTGGAGAAATCTCATTAATCTCATCATTGTAGCCGGGTTATTATAGTGTATGTAAACCTAAGTGACTGTTAATGATGTATTCTCCCAAATATTCTTAATGCGCTTGGCTACAACTAACAAATTGCCATCATGTGGCAGTAATTTCACTTACTGCACCCATGTCAACAGAAGGAGCACCATCTGTATTGCCAAGCTCCTCTCACTCCTTTGCCTGGCCTTTTTCAGATTTACAGAGCTCTTGCTCCAACTCGTGCTGGAGCAACAGTGTAAATCTGATTTAAAAATATATACATATATATTGAAGCTATAAATGGGTTATGTTTATCCTTTTTTTTTTTCCATCAGCACTTTTTAACTTTTCTGGGTCTAATGTAGAAATAATATCCTGAAAGAAAGGGGGAAAAAAACACTCCTGCATTAGAACTTTATAGATTTTAGAGGTGCATGGTGAGACATATTGATTTACCTGCCCCCTTCCCTCCCCCCTATCAATTTCACCAAAGCTATTGCAATCACACGTAGGCATACACACTTAGCACCCCCGTTCCCCTCCAAAACTACTCCAAATACTGCACACCCCCGTAACCCCTGCCAAGCGATACTGTGCTGTTTAATTGCTCTCTCAAATCAAATCAATAACAGTGAGGTATGTGTTGGGTGGGGGCAAAAAAATAAATAAAAAAAATCAATTGTTGCAGCTTCACGGCCGAGTCAGAACGCGAGAAGCAGGAGTGGATTGAAGCGGTGAAAGAATCGATTGCCGAGACACTCTACGACTATGAAGTGGCAGAGAAGATCTGGTTTAAAGAGGCCAATAGAAGCTGCGCCGACTGCCGCGCGCCGCAGCCGGAGTGGGCGTCGGTCAATCTGGGTGTGGTCATCTGTAAGAAATGCGCAGGTAAGGAACACAGGTATGCTTCTCTGCTTCTTGTGCAGACACACACATGCTGGATGGAGGTGGGCATGCTGCTGATAATAAACATAATGTACATGAATGTTTTTCAGAGTCACATTTTTGTGCCAATGAAAGCCGCCCGTCAACAGGGTTAATTTAAAAGCTGCGATTCCTCATCTATGAGGATGGATCCTTGGATTATTATATTTAAGCAGCTGAATGATGAAAACACATAAAAATGTTTTCTATGGCTGTGAATCAAATAATCTTTAAATTTTTTCTGGGAAATATGATGGAAACAAGCCCTGGGCCTTGTAATATTTGTCAGCTAATGCAACAACTACTGCAGATTAATGGCAACACCCTATGTTAGGTATGTTTGCCAATAACTAATTGTTTAATTGCAGACATATCAGTAGCACGGTGGTTTTAACCCCTATTAGTCATTGTAGAGTAATAATTTAAATACTGCGTATCAGTAGCAGATGTGGAAGTTGTTATAAATTAATTATGATTAAAAGTCTTTCTAAGGCCTTAGTGAGGCCCCATAAATGCTCACTGGTTTGTTAGGCCTACAAACCAGTGAGCAACCTTCACTCACTTGGGAAACGAGTATATTCCTTGACCAGTTGGCGAGTGGTCGTTGGAGGTTGCTGGCAATCTGTAGGTGAAACTGCTAAACGAAAACCTCATTGAAATTGCTTAAATGAAAAGAAATCAAATTAAAAATGATTTATCTAAATACTTCTTATAAATAAAGTTAAATGAGCTTGTTGAATTGAACTCTTATAATGTAGAGTTCTGCAATAAAGTAATGACGACTTTAATAGATGCTTTAAAATGGTTAATAAGCAGCCGATGTGCTTTTTACTATCCTTAAAGTTGACTGTTTATCTGGACGTAGCATTTTCAGTGGGAGAAAACATACACATGTGCAACCATTCATGTGTGTTTGGGGGGAATCACAAGTTTGCATTATGTGGCTATAAAAGCTCACAAGCAAGGCACAAAGCAAACCAGCTGGAAATGCCAGCAGAATATTATTTCCTCTTGTCTCTCTGGAGTCATAACTTATGGAAAGAAAAAAAAATAAACACCACACTGCGTGTAAAAAGTTATGACTGATGCTCAGAGACGTGCCAAATTAAAAAGGGATGCATGTTAGTGCTCGGCTCCTCTCTGTGCATGTGTGGTCTGATGTGTGTGCCTGTCTGAGCGTGTGCTCTGACCAGGAGGCTCTTTTGGAATAAGATCTCAGGTGATAAGCCACATATGGGAGTTGGCGTCTGGCCTCTGGCCTCTCTAATCTGTTTGGCTATACTGGATGGCTCAGATGAAATGACAACAAAGATTAAGCCACAGGCGAGAACTTGGGGGATCCCGAACTCCTTCTTGACCCGCTAAACATGATTAGAGAGACGTGGCAGCCATGCTTGATGTGCAGGGATATCTTGTTGGTGTGTAGGTGTTTTTCTTTTTTTTTTTTTATTTGTGTGTGCATGCCTATACACCCCATCTTCCCGCTCCAGATTTCTCCCAGAGTCATGCAATTTAATGCAATTCTTCACCTCACCTGTGCAAAGCCTGTGTAATTGGTACACATCAGATATCCAACATCTCCTTTCAAACAGCCTTAAATGATTTCATTTGCTGAGGTGTTTAATATTACATTTTGTCGGCACGCCGGGAGCAGGAGGGGTGGATATTTGCTACGAGGGAAGCTGTCCTCAAACTGTGCTCTATTTTAAATTGGGCTGTGGTCCATTTGGAATACCAGTGACTGCTCATGCTTTTAATTAGCGATCTGCTTTATTGTCATGCACAATAAAGAGAAATGCTGAACAAGAGGAAGAGGAAAGAAGTAATGAGGAGGCTAATGGTAAAAATGATCCCAGATTGGCTTTTCGTCTTTTCATGCTAAGACTGAATGGATTTTAATATTCTTCAGCTTCAGTCTTTGATATGAACAGCTTAAAACTGCAGTATTTTCTCTGTGTTTACATACACTTTAAGAATTGATAGGGTCTGTTATATTCAGAGAGTATTAAATTAATAATAGTGATTTTTTTTCTCTGTTCATTAATATTTACAGTGTTATCTAATCACAAATGCAGTAATACATGCATTTGTTCAAAGATGTTTTTGGATACTGTCCGCGTCTACCTTGAACACTTTGTAAGATAACCTTGCCCGGTCTTCTAATTATCTTTGAATTTTTTTATTTAAAAAAAAATACAACAAAAACTTTTATTTCTAAAGTAATCTAAGGAGCTTGGATAGAAGATGCCTGGACTACTTTAAGTTTCTTGAAGGCGTTTCATCTGAGAAGCTTCTTTGGTTCTAAGAGTTCTCCAGCTCTAGTTGGAGTTGTATCTTTAGAGGGCCGTTGACTCACATGTGCTGTATCTAATGAGCCATGGTGAGAAAAAGGGTGCGGGTCATTATCAGCAGAGGTTTGGGGTAAAACCATTGCGGGACCTTACCTCGCCCTATCATGTGACTTATTGAGATGAACTGACATATGATGTGAGTGGTTTTAGAGGCGTCTTGGAAGGGATCTCAAAACTGGATTGTAGGTGGCAGACAGTTGGTGTCGTAAGCCAACCCCTCTGTTCAATGATGACCGTTCACTGTGCACATGGATGGCTTCTTTCACTCCTCTTTCAAACCATCTGTCTTCGATGTCCTAAATGGGAACATTGACATCCTTGAAAGAGTGACCTTTATCCTTTAGATGTAGACGTACAGCTGAGTCTTGTCCTGTGGAGGTGGCTCTTCTATGTTGTGCCATGCCTTTATGAAGTGGCTGTTTGGTCTCTCCAATCTTGAGTTCTGAGCTCTCCTCGCTGCACTGCACACACTACGTTGTTTAGTTTGTGTTTGGGAGTTTTGTCCTTGGGATGACCCATTTTTTGTCTGAGTCTATGGCTGTGTCTGATATACACTGGGGATGTCGTGCTTGGAGAAAATTCTCCTGAGTTTCTCTGATAAACCTGCTACATAAGGAATGACAGTATTCTGTTTGTCCTTCTGATTCGCCCTAGTTGGTGTCTGACCTTGTTTACTGGGCATCTTTTCTGATTTGATGAAAGCCCAATCAAGATAACCACATATTTTAAGAGCTTTCTCTACGTGTATGTTCCTTTTCTTTCCCTTCAAGCTTAGAGGGAACGTTTTATGCCCTGTGTTGCGGGGTCTTGATTACTCCAAGTTTAAGAGTAGGTACTGGTCTTCTGGTAAACTTCAATGTTGAGGTTTCCATTCTCCTCAGTGAGCGCAGCACAGTCCAGAAATGAGAAACTGTTATCCTTTGTATCTTCCCTGGTGAACTTTGTTTCTGTCCACTGAGTTGATGTGAGCAGTGAAGGTTATTACTTCTTGGGTAGTTTGGTTATTTGGTTTTAGAACTAAAGAAGGTTCTCAGATGAGAGGTGAAACTTAAATTCCAGTCACTTTTCTTTCCAGGCTCCTTAGATCACCATGACCTGACGACTGACTACACAGACCTATTTCTCAAGTATATTTTAGCTGTTGTTTTCTCAACAGGATCTGACTGATCTTACTAAAATATTTTTATTTGTTTGTTAAAAAGTTGGTAAAAACTATTAGTAACTGTCTGGGGTTTCCTTTCTTTTTTAAATAACGTCTTAATATTACTAACCCATTTAAATCCTGATAACACTTACATGATGCGTTATTTATGCTGTGTAACTATAGCCGCTAGCTGTCTTGTAATTCAAGTTACTGAACTAAACCTTATCTGTGTTTTGAGCATTGGTGCAGTTGTGTGATAAACAGCATGGCTTACTGTCTGATTAAATGAGCTAACACCCTTCCAAGATGTCAGGCCACATCTTGAGTGTATTTTATGTAATTTGTCTGTATTTTTGTATGTGCAATGCACCCATACACTACAGATGTAATAACTTAGCAATCCACTTTTTCCTCTACCTCCAAAAGCTCAAGGTAATATTATGCAAAATGCTAAGATCAAGGCTTCTTGATGGTTGTGTATGACTCACTTTGCTGATGTCACGGTAACCATGCCCCGATTTTACAGGCTTCAGGTCAATCCCACATTTCTCTCTTATTTTATTTCCTCATTAAATTAACTCACCTCTCCATCTATGCACTCATTTCTTTGTGTCCTTATGCTTACTACTCAAGACGGCTGCCATAGGAAATGACAGTGCTTCAAAGACCTTATGCTGTTCTTCACACATATAATGCAATAAACTTCTTTAACCCAAGATGCAACTTGTAGGCATGTCCACTGGCAACAGTTGCCATGGCAATGTGAAATTACAGGGTTCATTGTCTTGCTCTGCTTCCTCATGACTTGTCACTGAGTGAAGGGGTCGAGAGGGGAAGGGGGGGGGAATCCACACAAGCACACAAGGTTGAAAAAGTACTCCGTGTGATGTGGATGGAGTCACCGGGAAAGTTTTTAATTGGGGGTGAAGTCCTTGGTGGGTTGAACATTAATTTTTTTATTTATTTAATTTTTTTGTGTGAAAGCTGCAGTGATGGGAATGCCTTTTTGTGTGTTGTTTTTTTTCCACCGGAAATATGAAGACATTTACAGCAGCCTATTTATATGAGACGATCTCACTGTATACCTGGCGGCACATGCACATGCACGATTCTTTCAGCTTCATTACCTTTACACAAGTGAAAATGGTCCTGTGGTGTTGCAAAGGCTCTGTGGATGTAGCATGGCAATACTCTGCTGCAAGCACCCCGAATAAAATAGTTTCACTCCTTCACAGGGACAGACTCTTACTCTTTGGCCTTCATTTGTCAAGTTGGACTTCTGATCTCCAAGACTGTTATTATCCCTGACATTTCAGTGTATTTTTCGAGATTGGGAAGAAAACAGATTTAAATGTAACCCTAGACCCCACTGCTGTATCCACCCTCAATATGTGTAGAGAATAAAAAAATAAATTGTCTTAATGGCAGGGAAGAAGGTTATCTTTTCTTTTCTTTTTTGTCTTTTGGGTCTAATGCTACAGTCACACTAAGGAAAAGAGTGGTTGGAGTCTGCGGCATGACCAGAATTAGTGCATTTGTGTAAAATGAACTTCCAATCTCACTTCCTTTGAAATGATTGTAACCACTCGTAGTCAGATATAATTTTCGAAGACACTTTGGTGCACAATGGAGATGATGATAAAGCAGCAATAAGGTGGACTCAGCTTGGTGTCAGGATGTGGTTGAATAGGGCTAAGTTGGCAATTAGAAGAAATCTGTTTGCATTAACAAATTGATTCACTGTTATAAATCAGTGAAAATTGCAAATCTGTTTTGCATTTCCAAAAGGATGAACTCTGAATGAACAAAGTTCAGTTCAGTTCAGTGAATCTCTGCAACCTGTCCAAGGTATACCCTTGGACAGGTTGCAGAGTATTACTTTGTTCATTCAGAGTTCAGCCAGAACTTCGTAGACCTGAAACAGAAGTTCTGACATTCCTTTAAAAACAGTGACGTAGTTGCTGAAAGCTGCTGATTTAATTGCATAGTTACTAGGAATATAACCAGAGTACAACCAGCTAAGTCACAAGTTGAACTTATTTTTAGATTGAGTGTATTGTGTTGGAAATCTATCAGTCAGTCCAAGCTGCACTGCAATCGTTTGGAGACAAGTTGCCTTCCGTCACTCGACCCATGCAACCTACCTTTTAATCTAAAGTGATCGCCCAGAGGTCAACCACTGAGTGACCAGTTGTTTGCCACAACTACTTGTAGTTAGTCCCCAAATGCTAAAACATTCCAAGCAATTACCAGGAAAAAGCAGATTGTTCTTAATGGCAAAGAGGTTACCAGTCAATTTTAAGTCTATTGTGACTGAGCTACAACTTAAGAAACATTTCATCTGCTATTAAGAGGAATCATCTTATAATAGTATTGTTATTGCACTAATTTGATTGAATCAATCTAAGTGGCAAACTAAGGCCCTGATTTGATCAGATTTATTGATTTGCCAAGTAAAACAAGAACAGAGGTGTGTGATATCTCCTAGAAAGATATTTGAAGTTTGACATGTTTATATATCTGAGTTTGTTGAACTAATAATATTGTTTAAATAATACATTGGATCATCTTTATGCAGGCTTTCTTAATAGGGTAAGACATTTATGTTCAACTCCTAACCTTAATTATAACTTCAGATAGGGTGTGGATTTTAAATTAACACCACATTTAATTTTGATATACTTGATATTGATGAAGTCCCTGATCTGACTTCACCAAATTAACTAAAAGGGAAACATTTAGTTACCCGCTTTTTCATGCCAGAAGACGCTTCCAATAGTGAGATGGGTCCACACTGGGTCCACTAACGTTTGGATGACGTAGCATACGTCGCGTTTGTGACCACTTTAAAACTCCCCTATGAAACTGCATGTGAAGTGACATTTAAAATGAAATGACTTCAGAGTTCATAGTTATTGGTGCTGATGAGGAAAAATGTCTATAAATCTTAGAGGTAGTATAAATGTGGTTCTGTCTAGATGCCCATGAAAGAAAGCGTATAGACTCAAAACTGCTGTGACAGGAAGGGTGGCACCGTCCTTTTGTCTCTAATGAATGCACCAACTGATCACATCAAGCCTGACCAAAATGAGACGTGTCTTGGCATATCAGATTCAAAATCCAGTCTGGGAGCAATTAGACCTGTCAGTTATGTGTCCTGGTGAGTGATAATTTTTTATGAATGGCACACGGCTTAATAATAAAAATACATGCAGGGTAGTGCTACTATGCCTATGTAAGTAATGCAAATATTGACTAGTTATAAAAAATGACTTCCTAGTTAGCTTTTGTAAAAAGAAATCTCTTAAGTGGCTTATAACTCAAAGACTTCTCCCACTTGTGTTCTCTTGAACTGTGTCAATATAGCTTTTCACAGCTCATAGCCCCTCATTTTCATTTACAGCCGCTCTACTAGCGAATAGAAGACGGTAATGAGATCATGCCAAATCTAAATATAAAATTATCCGCCATTACACACAGGACAATAATTCACATTCACACATACAGCATGTTTCTGTCTAATGTATTATGCATGTGTGCTCTGTCTTTGGCCATAAGCAACCCCAGAAGCCTCTCGTTCACCCAAATAAACAGGCCGACCAACAAACACAATGAATTACTCATGATTCATTAGCAATTAATGGCCCTCGTTCTCTGCTTTCATTTCCAATTAGGAGAGCTGAGGGGACTAAATATGTCTGTTGTGAGTGAGCGAACGAGCTCGCAGTCATGCTCTGTTTCTCCATCTTGTAACTGCCTGTTTATTGTTTATTCCATCACCAGCATTTGGTGTGTGTTTCAGCACGCCGAGGAGAACACTGTGCATATATGTAAATCGTTATTTTTGCTATTTAATGTGACGTTTTCAGGAACAAAAATGTAGCCTGAGAGAGCCTTGTGAACCCAATGGGGGAATGAATGTGTGAGTCTGTTTGTGTGGCTGTGCGCTAATATTGATGACTGTGTCTTCATGTGTGCCAGGACAGCACCGCTCTCTCGGGCCAAGTATTTCTAAAGTGCGGAGCCTGAAGTTGGACAGCAGTGTCTGGAGCAATGAACTAGTGGAGGTAAATGACATGTATGAAAGCGTATCCATTGTACTAGTACTAATCTAAAAGACTGGGAAGATGCTTGACAGTTCCGCAATGATGATCAATGGTCATTTCAAATCACAGTAATACCTCTGCAAATAATTCTCATCCAAACGTGTCACTTTGTACATGTTTTGCAACCCCTTAGCTCTTTCTGGAAGTGGGGAACAAGAATGCTAACAGTTTCTGGGCTGCTAATCTCCCCCTGGAGGAGGATCTCTACAGAGAGGCTTTTGCGGAGCAGCGGGCCACATTTATCCGCAGGAAATACAGGGAAAGGAAGTACACGAGTGTCCTGGAGGGCTTTAATGACCTGGAGCATCTAAACAAGGTACAGAAATGATGGATTTCATTTATTTCATTTATTTATTTATAAAGCACGTTTAATAACAACAGGGAGCTGACCAAAGTGCTGTACAGCGTAACAGTTAAACAATGACAGAAAATTAAAAGAAAATTAGGATAGAAGAATTGGTAACTCTCATACAGTTTCGAAAGCCAGAGTAAAAAAATGTTTTAAGATGCGATTTAAAAAGAGTAACAGTTGGGGCCTTTCTAATGTGGAGAGGTAGATCATTCCACATTTTCGGTGCCACAACCGCAAATGCCCGATCTCCTCTATGAACCATCCTAGACTTAAGTAAGGTAAGTAGCAGGTGATCGCTTGATCGAAGGGCTCTAGAGCAGCGGTCCCCAACCCCCGGGCCACGGACTGGTACCGGTCCGTGAGTCATTTGGTACCGGGCCGCGAGAGTGAGACTCGGGTGTGAAATGTATGGTTTTCAGGGTTTTTATTGGTTTTAGCGTTATTTTGTTATCGTTTTTTTCATTAACTGTTTTCCTGGGTCTTTTCACGTGTGTTATGAATAAATCTTATTTTTTTCGGTACCGGTACTGGTTTTATTTTGTTGTATTTATCCGCGACACATTAAAGGCCGGTCCGTGAAAATATTGTCGGGCACAAACCGGTCCATGGCGCAAAAAAGGTTGGGGACCGCTGTACTAGAGGGCGTATAAAGCTGCAATAGGTCAGACAAATAGTCCGGTGCCTGGCCAATTAGCACTTTATAAGTCAAAAGTAAGATTTTGAATTTAATTCTAAAACGCACTGGAAGCCAATGAAGGGAAGCAAGCACCGGAGTAATATGTTGGTGTTTCTTCACACAAGTCAAAAGGCGAGCTGCAGCATTCTGTACAAGTTGGAGCCGGGCCATGCTGGACTGACTGACACCCACATATAGTGAATTGCAGTAATCCAGTTGAGATAAAACAAACGCATGAATTGCTCGTTCCAAATTTCTAAAAGATAAAAAAGATCTCACTTTGGATAGGAGCCTTAATTTAAAAAAGGACTGCTGGACAACTGAATTAATTTGTTTCTCGAATGTAAGTTTGCTATCCAAGGAAACCCCCAGGTTTTTTACATGCGTTTTAACAGCACATGTTAGGTTGCATAAGTCCAAATCAGGGGCATTGAAATTACAGCTCGGTCCAAAAAGAATTACCTCAGTTTTATCCTGGTTGAAGGTAAGAAAATTTGAGGCCATCCAGGTTTTAACTTCGTCAAGACATTTGACTAGCGATTCCATGGGCGTGGAGGTGTTTCTATTAAACCGAAGATAAATCTGGGTGTCGTCGGCATATGAGTGAAAGCAGATGTTATGCTTCCTAAAGATTAGGCCTAGGGGTAACATGTAGATTGAAAAAAGAATTGGGCCTAATACGGAACCCTGCGGGACACCACAAGTAAAAGGAGCTGGGGAAGAAATAAAATCATCAAGGCTCACGGAAAAAGTGCTCTCGGAGAGGTACGACCTAAACCATTCCAAGGGGATACCTTTGATACCACATTGCTCCAAACGGGAGTTCAGAATGCTGTGGTCAACAGTATCAAAGGCTGCAGTTAAGTCTAGGAGCAGGAGCACAGCTGTGTCTCCTGAGTCAGTGATTAATAAAATATCATTAAGTATTTTATGTATGGATGTACTGGAGCAAAAGAAGCACCAACTGAAACTGAAGCTATAGAAGTCATGTTCTGAGGTGTAGTGGCAGTCATAAATAAATGACTTCATGAACGGTTTTCTATGAAGAAGAGTTCAGCTGATATGCCAGTTTACTGACATTACTGCTATTGGTGTTGGTGTGTTTGTAGGCTGCACTGTCTACACTATCTGCAGTGGTGGTACTGTGCAAAAGTCTTGAGCCACACCTCAATTCTTTGTATTGCGTCCAAGGAACCCAGCACTCTTGAGCAGCAGTAGTTGGACACTGGCTGCTTTTTCATACATTTTTACTGAAAATTGTATCTTTAGGCACTTTGTTAAAAGTCAGTAACTTAATGAGTTGGTGGCTAAATAAAAAACCGAGAGAATTATAAGGGGAGTGTCCAGAGTCATTAGTTAAGCATGGCGGTGTTGGAGATCTTGTCAAAATTTAAGGAATTATGAGCACAGAAATGTACCATTAGATTTTGATTCGCCACATAATACGTTTGCTTGACAACAGCTTCATTTTCCAGCTTGACCATGATCTCACACACACTCCCAGTGCAGTAAAAGCATACTTGGATAGAAAAACACTCAGTGAAACACTATCAGTCTTGGATTAGTCTCCCCAGAGCCCGGACCTCAACGTTATTGAAGCAGTGTAGGAATCATCTTGACAGAGAACTGAACAAACGGCAGAAACATCCAAAGAAGAGCTCTGAATGCCCTTCAAGACGCCCAGAGAACTATTCCTGAAGTCTGCTTAAAGAAATGACAAGAAAGCTTGACTAAGAGAGTTCAGACTGTGTTGAAGAATAAAGGCGGTAAAACCAAATATAACTTTCTGTACACTGTATAAAGTCTGTTTTTGACTTATATCTTTGTACATCATCTAATAAATCACTTCCCCTATTTCCCCATTTCCCTGGCAAAATATAAAGAAACTAGAGGTGGCACAAGACGTTTGTACAGTACTGTATTTGTTGTATCTGTGCTGACTCAGTGTCTTAGTGGTAAGTTGGTAACTCTATCCATCCGTTTTCTTAACCACTTCTCCATTTCAGAGTTGTGAAAGGGCTGGAGCCTACCCCAGCTGCCATACTGCAAAAGGCCGGGTATACCTTGGACAGGTTGCCAGTCTGTCACAGATGCTTATTAGTTTGTTTATGAATTTTCCAGCAATATAATCTTACAATGATGTCATCATGTACAGAATATAAGCTGATGTCCCACTTTCTGAAGTTCTAACAGCCTAAAAATCACCATCAGCCACAGAAATCAAGTATTGATCGTACTCTGCAAGGAAATAGAAGAGACTTCTTCTGACTCCTCTAACCACTTTAAACAGATTAGAACATCTAACAGTACTCTGTGTATGTGACTTGATGGATTTTGTCTGCCTTTCTAAGCTGAACAAATGTGGCGAAGGTACAGCAGGTCCACAGCCGACTACCCTCATAGTCCTGAGCATATAGCAATGCCCTTAACATTAAAGCTGCCATTGACTTTGTCTTTAGGCAAAGACACGTATGCTACACCAATAACCACATTGCTCTGTTGACTTGTGGCTTCTGTCTTAAGTCTGCAGTCACTCTACCTGGCAGTTTTAAGTTTTCCACATCAAAAATGCCAGGTTAAATATTAGCACCAGTCAGCATATGTTTACAGGAAACAATTATCCTTTTCTGTAATGTTGTTCCCCCAAGATAAATGTGTAAAATAGAGTCCTCCCCACTGCATAATGTAAGTAAAACATAAAAAAACACAACCCTTGCAGACCTTCAGTGTAATATTTTTCTGTTTGCTTAGCTAAGTAATTTTAATTAATGATGGGCAGTGATAGCAGGAGTTCCCCGAGCATGAAATCTGTTTTATAGCTTCGTTTGTACCTTTAAGGAAAAGTGCACATGGTACACTCCGTAAGCTAAATCCACTAAACTTGAGAAAGCCCATATTTTCCTGACCTTTTGACCATTGGTAAATCCGCACTTTAAGCCTAAAGATGCCAAAGGAGAAGTCTTATCGATCTCAAGTATAGGCATGTTGGTGCTTAGGCCTTGGGGTTTAGGGTTTATTGCTGCTGTAAAAAAAGAAAAAAAGGAGAGGGTCTGCTTTTTCTGGCCTCCTTTTAAGAGCTCTAAGCAGTGAAGCAGTTTCCACCGGCATCAGCATTTACGCAGATCAGCCCCCTTGTATTGTTTTCCTGCACCGAAAGAGGGGAAATGGAAATGTAGACAGGGGGAATGAGGCGAGAAAGTAAGGAAGAGATATACTAGCTAGCTAAGTGGAAAAGTGGATTAGGATCCACAACAGAAACGCTTGGGTTGGTTTTATTACGACTTTGCCAGCTTTCGCACGAGCGTGCGCTTTGGGGTGTGCGGCGTGTACATGCGTGTGAACATGTGTGCTCCTTCACTTGAGATGTGTGAATTTGCTGTTCTAGTGGGAGCTCTTTGCAGGCGGGTGCAGGAGGGGAAGTGTAACACAGACGGAGTGCAGCACCCCGAAAGAGTCAAGCCACTGGAGAGGTAGGGGCGTTTTAGTGTGTGAGTGCACGAGGGATGAATGCAGGGAAGGGCTGGAAGTGGCCTTGACACACTTGAAGTGTCATGGAGGCACATATAGAATACGATACATGCAGCTAGGTCTATGAGTACGTGGACATTAACACAATTCTAGACTTTATTTACTGCAAAGGACTTTTATTCAAGTATTAAAAACAATCCTTATATTGTAAATGAAGCTGGTGTGTCCAGTTATTCTTGGGTACTTATAAAACTGGGGTTTGTTTAACCACTTAAATTAAAACTGAAAGCCTGAACATCAATCACATGTTAATTCTTTCATTTAAAATCCACTGTGGTGACCTGCAGATGTAAAATATGTGCGCCAAAGTGCACTAAAACACTAAAAAGTCTTCAAAGCAACTCTATACATCTCCACACAAACTAATGAATCACAAACAACGTGTTTAAAAAAAAGAGACCAAAAAAACCCAGTATTTTTAACATAAACAAGGACACTGAGTCTAATCTCATCGGACACGCTGTTCCACTTCTGTGTCACATTTACTTACTGTAACACAAGCGCGAATATGAAATAATGAAAGCTATATAAAACCTTTTTCCTCTGGGACTCCTCTCGGGACAAAGACAATAATACTAGCAGTTTCCTTGTTGACATTCAAGCAGTTTTTCTGAAATCATGCGATGGCATTTCAACAGGTTTTATGGGGCTCAGGGGTCACGAGATTTACTCAGCGCATGCCGCAAATCATGAAGCGCCTTGAGGCGACTTATGTTGTGATTTGGCGCTATATAAATAAAATTGAATTGAATTGAATTGAAAATCACCGTTTAAAGCGTCATTTCAGGTAATGAAGTAAAGGTAGTGATTTATAGGTGACTGCGTCAATATGTTCCCTTACATAATCCCAGCAGTGTGTGTTGCGATGGGATTCTTTTTGTTTGCAACCCATCGTTTTTTTCCCCTTCATTTAATGCGTACTCTTCATCCCGCTCCCTCTCTTTCTCAGTCCCATTTCCCCTCCATTAGAAGCTCATATCCTAGTGACCTCCACTAACTCTCCGCAGACCACATGACCTAGAGAGTGCAGTGTCAAAGGAGCTTCTTATATCATTACACACCCTCGCACACACGCACACCCTAACCCTCTTGTGGCCACGGTAATTGCTATGACACGGAAGGTCATTTCCAGAGACGACACAGAATAAGGCCAAGTTGCAAGGGACTATTTTGCCATAATCTGACCCCATCTTCCGTGTGCGGGAAAAAGACAGAGGCGCGCGAGTGTGTGCACGTGCTAAAGTAATTATAATTTTTTTAAATCTTTCTTCACATAAATTTTCGGTTATTGTGCTACTGATGAAGATATCTATTTTTTTTGGCACAGCTCTGGGAACACGCATATTTGAACATCTTTATCTCAGTGCAGGGCCTTTGTGTGGGTGGCCAGGTTATATCGACGGGTACTTTTGTTTGTGCGTGTATATGCACAAGCCTCGGCGTGCCTCACTTTCGGATGGATATTGCTTGTTTGTGGCGGATCGATGCAGCCTACTGACTCGGCTCAAAGCCCAGTGAAAGGAAAGGTTGTTCGTTGAAATTCCGCTATTTGCCACTCGACTCCTCCGTTGATCCCCTTTGTTGCGGGTCATCGTGCACGGTGTCACATCAATCGACTGGACAGATTGAAATAGACAGAAAATATTTTCCCTGCTCAGACTGTATTCTTCAGACTCGTTTATCTTGCTTATCTTAGCGGGATCACAAAGTATGTCTGCATGGCCAGACACCACACTCGCTCTATAACGATGTCTTTCTTCATTTTATAGGCGCTGTTAAAGGTGGAATGTAAAGAAGAGTGTATAGAGGAAATGTATTTATTTACCTTCCCTGCTTACGTGAAACCAGTGCGGCGTTACCTTACACCGCATTTAGTTTGATGTCAGCAAGGTCTAAAGAACATCGAGTCTGTATTTAAATGAAGGTTAAGGCTTCACAGGAGGAGATGGGAAGAAAAAGTGAAATTCACAGGAATTAGTTTTAACTGCCTCCTTCTGTTTAACCTCTTAGTGGCTTTTAGATACTTTTCTTTAAAGTGCAATACGTTAAATAAGTTGCCTTAAAAGGTGTTGGTATTGTTTTAGAATGGAGTGTAATAGAATCCTAAGTGAGGCTGCTTTTGCTTTTCTGTCAGGCTTTAGTTAATCTCTTGAAACCACCCGTGTTGATGTTCTCCATCACTAGACACCGCAACTGTTACCAATCAGGCGTTATTATGATCTGCTGAAGAAGCTACATTGTTTTGGCTTGATGGAGCAACCAAGCCACTGATCCCCGGCTGTGTCTTGTACTGGTGGACTGGAGAGGGAACATCACAAGCTACGTGCCAGGAAGCATCAGCGGAGAAAGGAAGCCCAGCTGGCTGGCTCTCCTAATAATATTCTCTCGAGTGGTCGCTTGTCAAAAGCCTCCGGCTATCGTCGCATTTACTCTTTTGTTCATTCTCTGCCTGTCGTTCAACAGGGTTGACAAGAAGTCACAGTCATGGTCTATATACGAAAATATCTGGGCAGCAGTACTACTGCTTCTCATGCTTGACCAGGGCCAGACTGGATGCTACACTGGCTCACTATCCCAACTTGAGGTATTACTTGAGTGTCCGGGCCAGTGTAGCTACGGTTTCTCTGCATCGAAGTAGGAAATATGTCTTTGATATAATGGCCCTGCTTTGTATTGTTGTGAAGCAGGGTTATGTTTATATGCATTTTATTCTTATAAAGAAAAGAACAAAAACATCAGTGACAACACTGTTTTTCTGTTGTGTATAGTGTAGTCGTTTACACATTGGCTTGGCCAGTGAGACACAAATCCCTTTGGCGTTTCGTGAGGAGTGGTTTAGCAGCTTAAAACTTTTCCAAATATTATTCAGTATATAACTTTAAGATTCTCTTAGGTAGTGCAAAACAAAACTCCAAATGACACAACATGGTTAGGTTGTCTGTTGTGCTGCACTTCTGGTGACTTTGCAACATATTTTGATTAATGTGGCAGCTAAGGTGGTTACAAGCTACTTGCTAGTAGCTAAGTGGCATTAACATGTGCAGTAGCCAGGTTAACATCTATAATAACTGCTGGGGGCATTTTTATTCAGCCAATCAGAAAAAGGTCTGCTTAAAGAAGCGAGTGGCTTTAAAAGGGGAGGAGCTAAAAACGTTGCGGCTGAACTGAGAGGCTTCATTTAATTTTGTTTTCTTTTTAAATCTATTTGTTGACTAAAAACAAAAACAGTTTCAGTCAGTGATGGTACACTGGAACAGTATACAAGGTGAATGTTGGATGAATAAGAAACAGAATGTTGGCATCAGTAAACTCTTCTTTGGTTGTCCGTCCATCCATCCATCCATCCATCCATCCATCCATCCATCCATCCTTCCTTCCTTCCTTATAGTTTTCCTCTGCAGTAGCTTTGTGTCTCTTAGTTGGAGAACCCTGCTCATTATTGAAGTTTCATAGTGACTGGTGGAGGCGTACAAATGTATAAAATTCATGGAAAAACCAACCTCACTCTGTTCCACCAGAACCGCTTCAGTCTGCCTTGGCATTGATTCTGTAGGTCTCTCTTGCGTTGCTGGAGTGATGAGACACCTTTCCTCCAAAGGATACTCCTTATGTGTCATTTTGATAGTGATGGAAAGCTCCCATGTGTGTTGAGTTCTGGTGACTGAGAAAGCCGTGACATCATTTTCATAATTACCAAACCATTCGGAGACCTCTTGTGTCCCCTCGATGAGTCCTGAAAAAGACCATTTCCAACAGGATAGAAAAGGTTCATCAGAGGATCAAGGTGATCACCCAGAACAACTGTGTATTGATTCGCGCTGACCCTCACTCTAAAGGAGGGCATCTAGGGTGCTCAAACAGAGCATCAGATCTTCGTGAGAGGAGGGGTCAGGGATTTTCCTTAAATTATTTCCCGCCTGCACACTGCACTCTTTGTTTAGGCTCATCCTGAACGTTTAATACATGCTCTGTTTATCCATGCACAGATTACATGGCTGTATTTATCAGCTTCTGATTCATATATATGTATATATATATATATATATATATATATATATAATATATTCATATTCCATGCTTGGTTTGTTTTCCTGCAGGAAATTCACTTTATCTTGCTTCATCGCAGCCTGCTGCTGTTCTTTTGTACTTTTAGCTCACTTCGTTGTGTTTCATGTCTTTATTCCCACATTTCTCTTTGTGAAAATTGTTAGTTTCATTATATTTAATATGGCCCATTTGTCCTCTCCTTATTTGCTATATTCCTTTTTTTTTAGCTCATGGTTTTGAGCTTTAATGATTCCCACTGGGAGTATTAAAGTTTGATCGGATTTTAACTTCTCTTTTGAGATCAGCGGGTGGAACTCAATTCGTAACTTTATGTGGTTTTCTGACGCCGCTTTATAGACTCTTTGTCCTCTATCAACCTGGCAATCGCGCATACACGTACGCAGCAACACCACGCTGCTCCTCCTACACAGAGAAGTGAAGCCATACTTACATTTCCAGAGATTTTTTTCACTGTCTCTATGTCTGTTTTTTTTTTCTTTTAAGGCATTAATCCAGCTACAGAAAGCTACTTAGAAATCCAATGAGCTGCTGCTCCACTTCTTCATTCTTTTATTAGGCTATCACAGCAGGAAATGGAAAGTGGCAGGTGGACGTCCATAAATGAGATTTGCGACCACTAAAAATGAGCCTCGGGAATCTGATTCACAAACACGCCGAAACTGCAAATAAAATGTGAGCGAAACTCGCAAATAAGCTCATCACGGGGCCTTGTATCTTCTTTTATGTGTGAAGGCGCTGTGTGCAGCTGTGGTGTCCTCTGATGTGCTGCAGACCATGGCGCTCGTGTTCAGCGGGGCAGATGTTATGTGCGCCACCGGGGATCCAACCTACTCCACCCCGTACCTCTTGGCTCAGCGCGCTGGCCAGAAGCTGCAGATGGAGTTCCTGCACCAGAACAAACTGTGCGGTAAGCAACTTTGTTACTGTCTCCTCTCACTTTGAAGCATCCGAAAAGCGCGTTTCCGCTGCGCATACTCGTTTTGCTTCATTAACGAAGGCAACGGGAGTTGTACTCGGAAACTTTTCCGTGGTCAGTGTTCAACACAGTTGAGGTGCCAAGGCAACAGAAAGAATAACTCATGTATTCTTTTGGCCGAGTTAAAAAAAAAGAAAAAAAAGAAAAGAAAAAAGCTGACACGTTCTCATAAATCTGTGAAAAGGCCTTTAAACCAGGTGTGCAAGTTGGACTTTTACAACCATCAGCACCACATATATTCTGCCCCTATCCCTTCTACTTTAACAAGCCAATCATGTTTAAAGCCCATACTCACCGCTGTGCCGCCACGTTCATAAAAGCACAGAGGGAGTTTTTATTTTTTCCCTCCCTCTCCGCCGTGAATAGGAAATAAAGACAGAAAAACCCACAAATATGAAGCTGGTGAGTTTTAAGTTAAAAGTTCTCTCTCCCTTTTTCTCTTTCTCCATCTCTCCCTCTGTCTACCTCCCCCCCTGCACCCACCTTTTGTAATACCCACCTAATGTCCCCGGTTTGGAGGCACGCCACAGATGTGCTGTGTCGTGTGGCTTCCTCGTGATGGATGTGGGTTTTTTTTCTTCTCTTTTTTTGCCGATGTTGAGGACGTATTAAATTAGAAGCGCGAGCCGGGCTGCTGTTGGCTGAGGCAGGTGAGGGAGACTTTCGCGGGGACTGTAGTTTACATAATGTATGCGCTGCATCTGTGTGCACTTGCCGGCACCGAGCCTGTTAGGGACTCTCTAATTGCTAGCGTGGGTCACCTGGTTACTGTGGCAACGGCCATTACTTGGAGGTGGGCTGGCGAAGCGCGCGAGCGGACGGGCAGATAAATGCGCGCGCATTCTTGCGGCACGCTTCAGACGTACTGTCGATCTGAAACGTGTAGAAAGGCCACGTCTGTGTGCTCATTATGTGCCTGCGAGTTACAGGGCTTCATCATTAACAGATAGATGTGTATGAACAGAGTTTTCCTGTCTGAATAAACTGAACATCTATTGTGGACAAGCAGGTCCAGGGCCAGGGAGGCTACTGAAAACCAAAAATATGACTCCTGCAGACTGACTCTATTCTTTGGCTGTAACGGAGGGAACAATCACCACTGCAGCACTTTGGAAATTAGATCTAAATGACAGAGACAAGGAAAGTGGTCCTAAACGTAAAGTTTAGCCAGAACAGAGACCTTAAGGATGACTAAATGTCTCTATATATGTGAAACTGGCAACATGGTACCACAATCTTTTCTTAATATCCTGAAATAGCAGCTCAGTATCCCCTGAAATTACATTTATATTTGACAGTTCTGCAGCCACATGATTTATGTTCAATACCAACTTTCAGTACCAATGTAGGAAGCAGTGTGCCTTTTATTTAGTAAGGCAGAAAGTACAGATGTGGAGGCTGTGGTGGTTAGGTGGCTCTTTGCAGGAGATCAAAGTTTAGATCGTATCTCAGCCCAGCAGTTAGGCTTGGTGTCAATTTGCATACTTCTTGCATCTTGTACTTGATGCAAAATAAACTCACACTTGTGTAGCGTGAGAATTTTAGCCTTAGGCTGTATTTAAAAGATGGACATGAGAACAGTTTTTGAATATAAATGCCATCTTCTCAGTATTTTACAATCAGAAGTGAGGAACAAGGACACTGCATATGTTACGGTATGGTTTAATCACAAAGTCTGCTCAACCCAAAAAACTCGAGTGGGTATTTTACAAAATAAACATTTTATATGGCTTGAAACTAGTAATCTCAGTGTCCATCTAATGCTACAGTCACACCAGAGAAAACTGTGGTTGGAGATTGCAGCATGATCAGAATTACAGCGACTGTGTGCAGTGAACTTGTGATCTTATTGCCTGTCGGTCTGTTTATCAGTCAGATTGTGATGTAAGTGGGTCAAGCTGGGGATTGAATGCAATCCGTTAGTGACAAATCTGTGAAAATTGCAGATCTGTTGCTGTCGACATACGCAAAAGCAGCTCCTGACATTCACACTTCAACCAGAACCTCATAGATTTAGAAACTCAGAAATTCCTCCAGAAATAGTGACGTCGTTTCTGCAAGATGGAGATTTTACTGCAAAGTGATGTAGACAACCCTGCTTTTATATAGGAATATAACCAGTATACAACCAGATGGCAACCAGTTGAGTCCACTGAGCTGTTACGCTCATTGGAACGGACTGACTCAGATTGATTCCAGTGTTTGTGTTGACTGTTTATAGATTTAATGGCGAATAAAATTGTTTACAATTAAATTCTGCCTGTTCAAGTCAGACTGCCTCGCTGGGAACCACCTGTGCAGTCACTTTGTGATTGAAGGTGCTGCACATTCAACCTCTGGACAACCAGTTGTGGCAGCTATTTGTAGTTGGTCACAAGGAGGTTGGCAACCTGTGTTATTTTAGTGTGGATGGACTTTTATGTAGGCTTTACGATTTTAGCAGAGCGTGTAGCCTCTCACTGCACACATTGCTCAGTTTTTTCGCAG